CCAAGCGGCAGCCGGCGCGGCGGTCCCTTGGCGCCGGCATTTGCCAAATGGAAGCCGTGGCCTGGATGGAGGACGGCGATCCGCCGGGATTTCGTCTACAGCACTAGTAGCCGGTGGGCGTGTGGCCTCGGGAGCCAAGTTCGGGGAAAGGGACGCTTTTGTTTTCTCTCCTTACAAACCGAATTAAGGATCTGTTTAAAAGCGCCTGGATTGTTACCAGCCTTTCTGGGTTTGAGGCGCAAATACTCTGCTCCTTTGGCAAAAGCGAAGTGATATTGAACCCTTCCCCACCCCGCCCCGCGCGCGCGCCCTGTGGCTTTTGGTGGTGGGGGGGGAACCTCACTGAGAAAAAAGTACTCTATTCCAAAGGAGTAGCCGTGTTAGCCTTCCTCAGCATGATGGCAAAACTATGTAAAAGGAAAAAACAAAAAGAGGGAAACAATTTAGCTCTTTGAAGACGAACATACATATTTCAGTGTGAGCTTTCATGCGATTACAATCCACTTCTTCAGGGAGGGAAACGCCGCCGCCACCCCGGTTTATTTCCTGATTAAGGGGCTGCTGGACACCTCGCAGCTTTGTGGAAATTCCAAAGTCTTGGAGGCTGAGAAGTCTTGCAAACGTGCCAGTTCGACATTTGGCGCAAATCCATTTCTAAAAAGCCCCGGAAGCGGCCGGGAGTGAAAGGAATGCTCCCCGTTTTCCAGGATTATAAAACGATGATGAAAAGCCCTTCACTCGCGTGAAATGTGATGCAAATCAGATGAACAACGGCACTGCTCTGGGGAGAGAAATTAGACCAGTTCGGGGGGGGGGGGAAGCGCCGCGGACCGTAGATTACAATTTGTTTTAAATTCCCTGTAAGAGTTGAACGACGAGGACGACGACACCCTCCCGTCCGCTCCCTTCACACGTTGTCAGTGTCAGCCGGTTCGCCACCCCACGCCTGCAATGGCCACCTGTAGCGAGGAAGGAGAGGAGGGCGGGCGGAGGCGCTTCTTTGGACGAGAGCAAGCCAAGAGTTCTGGGACGCCTCGGCCTCGAGCCGGGGTTGCCCTTTCTCCACGCGCGCAGCACGCGGCCTCGGAAGACAAGGCTTGTCCAATACTGTACACTTCTTTGGAAAGGAAGTTGATCGTGGCCATTCCTCCCGCTGACGCCCCCTGGAAGATAAGCGTCTACCACCCTTGACAACCCAATCGGGAGACTAGGATTTAGCCTCGCTGCGGGGAAATGAACGGAGTGTGAACGGGTTTAGACCTCCGTTCCCGAAATCGGGCGGGAGGAGAGGAGAGAAGGCGAGCGGGGGAGCGGCAGCAACCGATTGCCGCCCAAAGCGCAGGCTCGCTCAAATGCGCGCCCCCCCCCACGGCCTGTGGCCGGACCCGCGCGGTGCCTCGCGCGCTTTCCCAGGGAGGTTGAGGCGGGAAAGGCGCCGAAGGGGCGCTATACCAGAAGATCGCCTCGACGCGCACGTCAGAGTCTGGCTAGAAAGGGAAAGAGGGACGAGGACAACCGCGGACACAACATTGCGAGGCCGCTTCTGTTCCGTCCGCAGCTGGCAGGCCATCTTTCCAGGCAGCCGATGGATTTTTATAGCGGCACCCCCGAGGGTCACAGAAGAGGGAATTCCCTCCATGGCCAAGCACCGAAAGAGCAAAAGGTCTAGTCCGCACGCAAAAGAAAAATAAATAACGGGGGGGGGGAGAGACCCGGAAGGAAGCCAATACACCCACGCACGGCATTCCTCGCAAAGTTAGCAGCCCGTCTTTTCTCCTTCAAAGGAGTCGTAAAAATGATCCAGAGGCAGCTACGCCAGAGAGACGCGCCACTGCTAAATGTGGAAGCAGCGAACTAAGAGGCTGCAGCTGCCTGCAGAGGGATGAAATGGGCGGAACGGGAGGGCCAAAGAGAGGCTGAGCGCGCACTGCCAGATGCGCTAGAATTCTTTGCACATGTCAAGTGTAAAAAAAAAGGGGGGGGAGAACGGCGCTTCACCTCACCACCGAAAATTCCCCACCACCAGCAACAACCGTATGTCATTTGCCAGTAAGATAACAAACGGAAAAGCCACTCTCTCCCGTTGGGAGTGTAGAGAGATTGCTGCACCGTCCCTATCATCTCCAGGTAGCCCAAGGAAAGAAGCCTGCTAGCATCCCTGGAGAGTTGGCAGTGGTGGGCCAGATGAACCATCGGTCTCTCCAGATAAAGCAGCCTGCTCTCTGCTGTCCACCTTCCTAGCCAACCCAAAGACCCCTTATCTGTTGGGAAAGCCTTTTCTCTCTTTTTTTCTCCTTTTCTTTTCTGGATCTTGGGGGAATCCATTCCCAGCCAGTTGGAAAGTGTACTGATTTTCTCTCACTCTGAAGTGAATTGTCTTTGTAAGACTTTTGTCGCTTTACTCTGCACCTTTCAATATCAATGGAGCATTTTCAAACTAACTTCATGCCCTAGATCAGGATCTAGATGCAGAGAGAGAGAAAACCCTTGATGGTTTTAAACATTGTTTGCTATGAGATCAGTTTGGTGGCAGCTGCTAACTACTTCTCAGTGTAGGAAAGCCCCGAGGAGCAAAATAAGAAAAGGGTATTGTACCAGAATATCAAAGAGTATAATGAATAATGGCACACTGTATACCCTAGGTAGCTAGCAACTATATACCTCTGCAACTTACTCCATCCTGAGAAGACAGAAGATGGGGCAACCCGGTGTAGAAAACTCCGCCTTTCTGGAGCTTTAGGCCAAGTTCTCACATAAGAAAAGCATTGGAGATCAGCCCAAAGGTCTGTACAGTCCATAATTCAGTTGCCATAGTGGTCAAACAGATGTCTACAGAAATTTCACTCCTGGGAAATGTGTGCAACAGCATTTTCCTACTGCTCCCCAGCAGCTGGTTCATAAATGCATATTGCCTCTGACCCTAGAGGTGATAAATTGCCATCAGGATTAAGAGCCACTGTAGCATTTAGCTGGTCCCTGGGCTCCACCACTTTCCAAACTGCAGGTGTGGACTCAGTCTGAATGAGCCTGAATGTGGCAAAGGCAGTCCCAGAGCTACATATGATCATTGTCTTCTTCAGATGCGCTGCTATTCACTTTATTCTTTCATGGAACCATGCAATACTGAAGCCTTCTCTTCTAATTTTGCTCTTAATAATTGCTGTCTTAGCTTGATGGGCAGCAGCAGGTACATTGGTATTCTTCCTCAAACTGGTCCAGTAACTAAGTCTTTCGTAGTCAACCATGTTGGTGGAAGGATTGCACACTGAAAGACCAGTGTGTTAGGGAAAAGGTAGATTAGCTTTAGATCTCCATATGTTTTTTGTTGTTGTTTCTCAGAGAAACATTCTATCAAGATAAGCCTTCACCAACAACCTGAAGGGCCACAGCCCAGACTGAGGTCCCCTGCCTGAGTCCCTGGCGGCCAAACACCTGGTCTCCTTCTTGCACACCTGTTATTCCCACTTAATCAACAGCTTCCCCAGTTACACAGGGGAACACATCCAGGAGAGAATGAGCAGGAGGACTGTGCCAGATAACTGCAGCTGGATGCTTTGAAAAAAATACAGGTAGCCATACAAATGGGACACAAGCTATTATATTCAGAGTCTAAAGCAACCTAGTTATACGTAGGACTGACTGCAAGCAGAGGAAACCAAACGTCCACCAAACGGTGGAGAGCCAGTGTGTTGTATGGGGACGGGAATCCCTACTCAGCCATAGGAAGTCATTGGAGAGGGTGGCTCTCTTGCATACCTTGAGAACCCTAGAAGGGTCGTCATAAGCCTGATGTGGCTTGAGACCATAGAACACCTACCACCAAAAGGGCACAGCACAGGGGGTTGGGGGGTTGGGCTGATCATCATGGTCACCTCTCCAGCCACAGCAAAAGGAAAAAAGGAGGAATGGACTCCAATAACAGCAGGATAGCAAAGGCCAGGAACCGAGGCAAATGACATACCCCTGTCGCGGGAGAGGGGGGGAAACCCTTGGCGAGAAGCAGTTCGCCGGCCGCTGTTTCTCCCTGTCCCACCTCGGGGCGGTGGGCTTTTTCCCGCCAACCAGCAAAAGTGCCTCTTCCCCCTTCATTGGAGGGACACTGGGCTAAAGAAAGGCACCAAAGGCCGCGGGCGGCAGGCGGGGGCGTCTGCCCTCCAAGGGCTCTTGGCCCCCTTCAGGGGCTGCCGGGCGCCCGCGGCAGAAAGTCGGCTTTAAAACTCCCCTCCTGCCTTCTCTGGTTTGGAAGCCGTCTCCTCGCTCCGTAAGCCAGGCAGGCGCGACTGCGTTTACCAGAAAACCCCCGGCCCCCAAACGCTCGGGCTGGGGCTGCGCCTTCTTTCCCGGGAGGCGAAAGAAACCGGACCCGGGGGGGGGGGGGGGGAAGAGGGCGCGTGAGAGGGGCTGCGCGTGAGGGAGAGACCAGGAAAGCACGAGAAGGAGAGGGACAGAGGAGGAGGGGGGGAGAAAAAGTGGGGGGGTGAAAGGACCGGGCCGGAGGGCTAGATGGGGAGAGGGATAGGGAGCGGTAGGGTCCCGACTCCAGACCCGGCCCAGCCTCGGCTCCCAAGCGCGCTCCCCGAGCCTTCCGTTCGGAGAAGCACCCACGTACTTCGCTCGTGACGAGGGTGGGGGGCTTGTATCCTTTGGCCCCGCGCGGGGTCTCCTCGCGGCCGGTCGTGCACCTGAAGGCTACCGAGCCCAGCCCTCTTGCATCCTCCGTGCGAGTCGCTCTTCGGCGGGCGAGGGAGAGGCAAAGCGCCCTGAGAAGATCCAAGGGTCCCCACACACTGCTAGATCCAAGGGCGCCCTCGGGAAGACGGGAGGCGGTCTTGGCGGGCCGGAGTTCTCCCTCACATGGTCGAAAGGGGCTTGCTTTTTAATCCCCCTTCGGCACGGCCCTTCGGCGACAGCCGGGTGAGTGGGAGGGGAAAGGCCGGCCAGGCTCATTTGTGGTCCAACAGCCCAGCCTAGCGGCCCTTCGCGCTATTACCACTCTGCGCCTTGAGTGCGCTGCAAGAGGAAATGGCTTTACCAAAACCTCCATCTAGACTTCTCTCAGGCAACAACTACAATAGATGTGGGAACTCCACTGAAGGTTTAAGGTGCTGGTAGTTATTGGTGGCATAACACTGCTTTCCTAGGATGCACGTGATCCAGTCGCATTGGCAAAGCAGCTACTGTACCATGTTCTCTAGACTCACAAAGAAAGTATGGCTGAATAAGAAGCTGATGGCATATACCAAGATCCAGGTCTATAGAGCCTGTGTCCTGAGCACACACCTGCACTGCAGCGAGTCCTGGACCCTTTGCACATGGCAGGAGAGAAAGCTGAACACCTTCCATATGCATTGTCTCCAATGCATTTTTGGTATCACCTGGCAGGACAAAGTTCCAAACAGAGGAGCCCTAGAACGAGCTGGTATTTTTAGCATGTATACATTACTGAAACAGCAACATCTATGTTGGCTCGACCATGTCATGAGAATGGCTGATGGTCGAATTCCAAAAGATCTCCTGTATGGAGAATTAGTGCAGGGACATCACCCCAGAGGGAGACCACAACTGCGATACAAGGACATCTGCAAGAGGCATCTGAAGGCCTTAGGAATGGACCTAAACAGATGGAAAACGTTGACATCTGAGCGTTCAGCCTGGAGGCAGGCGGTGCATCATGGCCTCTCCCAATTTGAAGAGACCCTTGTCCAGCAGGCCAAGGCAAAGAGGCAGTCACGAAAGCAGCCAAATCAGGGAACTGGACACAGGACAGATTGTATTTGTGTTCAGTGTGGAAGGGATTGTCACTCTCAAATTGGCCTTCTCAGCCACACTAGATGCTGTTCCAAGTCCTCCATACAGAGCACGTTACCATAGTCTCTCGAGACTGAAGGATGCCTAATCAAATCAACATGATCCAGTGAATAGCACAGAGCTGCAACTAGGGAAGTGCCAGAACTGGACATAGGACAGATTGTATTTGTGTTCAGTGTGGAAGGGATTGTCACTCTCAAATAGGCCTTCTCAGCCACACTAGATGCTGTTCCAAGTCCTCCATACAGAGCACGTTACCATAGTCTCTCGAGACTGAAGGATGCCTAATCAAATCAACATGATCCAGTGAATAGCACAGAGCTGCAACTAGGGAAGTGCCATAGCACTTGACCCTTGGGTGCAAAAATGTCAGGGGTACAGAAATTTAGAGGTGAACTGACTAGAGAGTGTTGTAATGACAACACTTCCCACCACAATTCATTTTCACAGGAGTGGACCAAGTTTTCCCACCACTTCAGACAGGAAGCAAAAAAGCTGGGGGAGGCTCCTCCCTATGAAGCCCCCTTGGCAACCCTTCCAAAAGAAAGAGAAAACCATGCTTTTGATGACAGAAAAGAGGACACCGTGACATGATCAGGACAAGCACAGCTGTGGCGTGTATGCCCTGCATCCCACGCTAAGGAATGAGGAGAAGGCTTTGGCGGCGGCAGCAGCCATTGTGGGAGAACCCCATCCACCCCACCAAAAGGAAGAGGAGGAACTTCAAGATGGAAGGGTGGGGGGGGGCGATGCCTCTTGCTCCAGTGATCAAATCTGCCAGTTGTGGGTTTGAAATACAAGCACAAAATCTTGCTTTAAAGTGAGGGAGGAGATCTATTTGCCCTTGTGTTGACAATACTGTTATTGCACAAATGTAATAAAAAGACTGCAATCAGTTCTCATTGAAATCAAGTTGTGACTACCCTGTGTTATTTAATTCAGTGGAACCTAAGTACAAACAGCTTAAGTGACAAATTATACCTTCACTTACTTAGTCCCACTGAAGTCAGTACAGCTCACTTCAGTGTAGACATTCTAGGATCAGTGTGTTGTTCTCGATTTAGCCACTGAACTGACTTTTTTCACACTGAAATATATATTTTAATGGAAAAATCAAGTGCTACTGCAGTTTCTCTCTGACCACTAAAATGTCTTCCTCCCCATTTGAAACCAGAAATTGTGTTTCTCTTTGGGATGTGCAAGGAAAAATGAAAGGAGATTGACGTATGTTGCAAAAGGAGGAGGAATTAAAAGTAGCATCCACAGAAACAGACAAGGCAGGAATGAAGAGAGTTTATGGACCAAGAAGGTGTTTCATCTTTTTCCTTGCAATGGCAGAGGAAAATATCAGGCAGCTATAAGGATGAGATTGGGCCAGAGGTGAGAAGTCAGGAGTGAGATGGTACCTGTATCTGCACAAAGCTATGTGATCCAACAGAGGCTGTGAAAGATCTAGGAAAACAGAGAGCCCTAAAGGACATCTGGAGGTCACAGGAAAGATGAATAGGAAGGACAACTTTAAAAAGGTGAAAGAGGGTGACTACTAAAAGACATAGCCAAAAAGCCCAGTTAGTATATATCCTTTCCCATGTACTTGAGTTTTACATAGGAAGAAGCTGGAAGAAGTTAAATAATGGGAACTTTGAATGAAAGGCTTACTAATCTGATGGCATTTCCACTGAAAAATACATTTATCATGGGGTACATTTTACTCTGTTGTGAAATAAGTTTCCTGGTTTCAGATATGTCCAGAATGCTTTACAAAATAATAATAAAGCATTGTCCAGATGATATGTACTTTAACGTTTCCAGACACCTTAGGGGAATGAGTCAAACTGCATATAGGAACATACCATAAATTCAGCTGTCTCATAGTCCAAAAATGCACTTTCCAGAACCTATGTTTTTATCAATAATAAATTACAAAATAGGCTTGAATGACTAAATCCACAATTAGATTTTTCATTCTCTAAGCACTAATACTTTTAAGATAGGTTGTATTTTTCACATTAACAAATATTTGCATAACTGACTACTACGTATATCAAAATAAACCAGAGGACAATGCTTCTTTACTTGAAGACACTGAATCACACTTCATTAAGGGGGCTTAAGGGGGCTGTTTTTCAGTCCATCAAATAAAAGATGCAGTGGTTTGGGGTGGGGGATTATTTTTGTTTTTTGTTTTGTTCTGTTTTTTTGTTTTAAAATGCTTAATTTATAAGGTAGCTAGTTTAGTAAAATGTTATCTTTGTTGGAAACTTACCTACTAACTAATTCAAGGTCCTGATCCACAAAAGAGTTGCCATATACTGGTTTTACCATAACTTGCAAATATTGTATAAACTTTTTTTGTTATTAAAGAATGGTTAATTTTCACCAGAATTTATTCATTTCATATTTCCCGGAACTGGACATGGATCAAAATGCAATTTGTGTCTTTACATTTATGTACTTCCTCCAGTTTCTGATCAAAATATGTATTTGACATTCATATATGTTTGGAAAATGTGCATTAAAAAGTCAATGAAATGCCCATAAATGTCTTTTAGTCAACAAGAAAGTGTGTGCGCTTCTGAAACAATATATATATGCACGTTTAGGAAAATGAACTTGACATGCATGTCCATTTCTGTGTGAGGCAAAAGACAAGTTCAGAATGAGATTCAGAAGAGGAATCAGAGAACCTTGATAAGTTCAAACTTTATTAATTCACACATCTCTGAATGTAAATTAATTCATTGTGCTGGAGTTTATGAGATCATATAGCTTGTGAAGGGACATGGTGGCGCTGTGGGTTAAACCACAGAACCCTCTGTGCTGCAAGATCAGAAGACCAGCAGTCATAAGATCGAATCCACGTGACGGAGTGTGCTCCCGTCGCTTGTCCCAGCTCCTGCTAACCTATCAGTTCAAAAAGCATGTAAATGTGAGTAAATAAATAGGTACCACCTTGGTGCGAAGGTAACGGCATTCTGTGTCTAGTCATGCTGGCCACGTGTCCATGGAAAATGTCTACAGACAAATGCTGGCTCTACGGCTTGGAGATGGGGATCAGCACCACACCCTATAGTCAGACATGACTGGACTAAATGTCAATGGGAACCTTTACCTTTACCTATCAGCTCATGAGAACTCATAGTGCTGCTTTCTGTAGTAGGGTATGATAGCTTTTTCTCTAAGACTGTAGATGCCTCTGAACTTGACACAGAACCCGGTTTGATGCAAGAGATGTTTTTCTTCTATTCACTGAAGGTTCTTTTGGTCAGAATTTGCTCCTACACATGAGCTAAAACCTGTGGCTTTGGGTTCATTTAAGGAAAGATGGAATGCAAATAAAATAAATAAGTAATATATATGTACCCCAAATTCAAATCACAGATCACCATACTGAAATAACTGTATAAATCCACTGTTACCCAGCACTGATTATTTGTTTGGTGCATTATCAATAGGAGAAGACATTGATTGAGAAAGTGTTCCAGAAGGGTAGGAAAGCCTTCTTTCCCTTTTTCCAAACTAATTAACTAATCAGTTAGGCAATATCTCAGTCGAGGAAAGGACATTTTGTTTGGTCCTAAATTAATAAAAGTATTATTCAACTGTGATTTAGAATAATGATGGGCTTGTACTTTCCAGTGTGATATCCAGTGCAGTGTAGAGGATACAGTGACAGACTAAGAATCAAAGGACCTGGGTTTGAATCCCTGCTGGGCCATAGAAACTCAAGGGGGTAGGACACTGGGGAAATCCGCTACAGTGGTACTTTGACTTGAGAACGTCCCTACATAAGAACGATTTGAGTTAAGAACGGCTGCGTTTGCAAAAAAGTTGCTTTGCCTTGAGAACGGAGCCTTGACTTAAGAACCAGAAGAAGAAGAAGAAGAAACCCTTTCCTGCCCTTTTTTTTAAAAACCTAAGTTCACCTTAGGTCAAAAGAAGAAAAAAATAAAAAAATATTCTCCCCCTAGTGGTAGATAGGGATTAACCGGCTTTGCATTAGTTCCTATGGGAACTAATGCTTCAACTTAAGAACAGCGCCTTGACTTAAGAACAAAAAAAAAAACAGCAGATAGGGGATTACTGTAAATG